CCCAGAAAAAGTTCACCACGGATCATCCCAGCGTGGTGAATCCTCCTGGTATGCCCTTCCAACGCGAGGTTAGGACACCAGTGGTGTGTTTTGATAGTTCCGTTGGTTCATCATCATCTCAGACACTATGGATCCTTGGTATGATGCAAGCAGGTTCTCAGAACCAATGGCAGTCTTGATTTCTGTGATATGCCATGATACGTCATGATATGCTATGATTAATGCTAATTAAAGATCATAAAGCAAGATTTTTAACCATCCATATTTTCATGGTTTATAAAGTCTATACCACACACATTTATGGTAAAATTGGGGGATGGTAGATCCTATTGCTTTACTAACATTATAAGGGTAATATACGGGTTATATTCTATCTGAATGACTGAAAAAAATCCGCCTGACCTCTGACTTTCCGAAAGGTGTCCTCGAAACCTCAAGAGGTGGAGCTTGGATCGATTTTCGTGAAGGGAACATCTAGTTCCAAACGATGCGTTTCCCCATGAAATATCGCGGTTTTCCTATATTTTCTGTTCCTTAGAGCAATCGAATGAATGAAAGACAATGGAAGATTTGTGAATTTTGAGGCCCCAAATCAGTGTGTTAGCAGATTGTTTAGGCCTGAATTGGGGCGGCATTTTTGTTCATCCCAGGAGAGATGGATTCCAACTAGAAAGGCCATGCTACTAGCAGCAAACTCAATCTGATCGTCTGGAAATGCTTGAGGATTGTAATGATGTTGTGGTATCAACACATCTAAACAAAGTAAAAGAACTGTTGAACGGTAGGTTGTTGATGTTGATGGGCTTGCTGGGTTGCTGTTTCGCCATTTTGCCACAATATTTGTCAATCTTCGGTGATTTTGAATGGTGTTATCGGAGAGGTGGCCCACAGCGTAATATGTAAACATATCTAGAACACATGCTGAAGGATTAAGTGGAACTGAATTATATATATATATACGTATGCATATTTACAATATATATATACACAACTATTATCTAATATTTTTGTTTGTATCTAATATCAATATCTATAACTGATCATCTATATCTATTTCTATATCTATATCCATGTCTATGTCTATATCATATATATATATGCAAATTTTTAAATGATGAGCACAATGCACTTTTGACATCAATGAATCAAATGACTTTCCAAAGTTTCAGGTGTCATAACATTTTGTCACGTAATTTAATGTTGCATGGGGATCAGATACAAAACCACAATCATTTCATTGCAATGAAGCTCTGAATCATTGAAACACACATTGAGAATAGTCTTGATATCATATCTCTTTCAAATGTGTTATCAACACGTGTTCAACACAACAGGGTGGCAACGATTCAATAGTATTCAACATGCCCTCAATAGCAAGGTACTCCAAATGAAGAAAATAACACTCAACGCAATTCAATAACTCTCAACAGCCCTCAAGCCTGATTCAAATTATCTTAGCACTCAACAGGGTTACATTATATTGCATATATATATGTATAATATGCATATGTATATATATATATGTATGCATTATATTGCAAAGATCCCAAATTTCCTGTAGGGTGCGGTACCGGTGCTGGAGCACCCTCACCTTTCCGCTTTTTGTTGCAGGAAGCTCCACTGGAACCAGGAGCGCCAGCGCAGGGGCACCGTGTCAGAAACCCAGGAAACTCTGCGATGTTTGACCCGTGGCCACGAGGGTTGAAAGACTACATATACCTTCCCCTTGAGGGTTTCAGAGTCCATTTTTTAGATATGGTTGTTGAGATGGTAGTTTATACAAGTTTAGATGGAGGTTTCCAACAAACGCCCCCCCACCAAATCGTCCAAAATTAGACCATGTTAGTATTGAAACGCAGGGTTTTGGGGATCCCATTTTAAACCACCACATAATATAACAGATCCATATAGCTGTTGTCATGAGCAAGTGCCCAATGCTTACATTCAAACCGGTTCTTCTAGAAGCCTGTTTTTAAATAGTAAGTTCAAGGTTTTGAATGGGTGACATCCCATCTATAGCTACCCTGGGCTTGGTTCAACCCAATCACATCTGCCAATGGAAAAGACATTTTGCATACTATTATTATAACAATTTTAATCAACACATATGATTGGTTGATTTTCCATGGCCAGCTAAGATTGCCAAAGGGCACAAATTGAAATTTGGTAGGTTGATGGTTGCATTCCCTTCTGTAAATCCATGTCTTATATGTTTGGTCTCTGATGGCAACAAGACCGTCCAAACTCGGGAAAGCAACAAAATTCTTCCAGTAAACCTTGATTGGGAAGTCTCACACTTTATCTCGTTTGCCATAAAATTGATAATCTTCCATATGCCATCCGCAGCTGAAACACGCGTTTGTTTGTGGGGTATCTGGGTTACCGACGATTGGAATCCTGAAATCACTTTGGCAGTTGGATACGCAACTTTGATTTTAACCTCCATTGCAGCTTTCAGTTTCAAATTTCAATCGAGGAGGTTTTTCAATTTTCAAAGTCCCAGGAAATTCATATCGCTATGGATGTATATTTCCCCAAAATAATCCAAAATATGCTAATAATGGGTTTTGACCCTTCCTCATATGGTAAAGGAGCAATACTTACCCAATCCAAATGCCCTGGCGTGTCATGCGGCCTGGGTGTGCCAAGGGTACTCTGCCAGCTTTTAAGCTTGGGCCGATTGAGCATCTGAAGGCGAGCTGGACCAGCAATACCCTGCCACTGTTGGTTCATAGTGCTGCTTGGGGCCACCCTCAGTAGGTTGGATGTTTTGGAAGACAGGTTGGGTGAACTAGACACTCAGGTAGATTTACCATGATCGATTTCCCATGATTTTATGCCTACAGTTACCACAACAAACACAAGTTCATGTAGACAGGTATAAGTTATAAGCTCCATGCTGTCTCCAGGCTGTTTCCAGGGGTCATCCCGGGTGATTGCAACACATACACAGGCTGACGTGACAGTACATCTCAAACACTATCCTGAGGCTTCATCTTATTTCAGTTGTGTTCATGGACACAACTAGTCTAAAGATACGTGCTTATGAAGTTGATTCTGGGGCCATGTTTGGGTCAGAATTTGACCAACACTTGCAGCAGATGGTCTTGGCTTGACTCCAAAAAAACCAAAAACGCTTCACAAAGAGGTCTATATGATGTATGATACACATGTATACATGTATATATATATACTTACAAATATAATAATTGTACATATATACATACACATACATATTATGGGTATAGTACGCATGTCATGTCAGATAGAATGTCGGAATGTATGTGAGATAAAATGTAAGAATTTGGGCAATTGTGGGGTCCGCTCGAAGAAAGTAATTGTATCACATTAACTCTTGTTTTTTGGTTGTGTTGCTATAACCAGCTGCCGCTGGAAAACGCACTAGTTCTCAACTGACCAGCTGCCTGCAGAGGCTCTTTCTGCCAGCGAAGAACAGACGCTCGAAGTGCCTTGGTGGTCAGCAACTGGGCCCCCGCAAAGTGCGGATACTGGGGTATCTATAGTAACATAGTACCACCCAAAAGTAAGAAAAACTAGAAACGAAAACATCATCTAAACATTCTGAAAAACCTTTTCTATCTTTTTGTGGGTTCCTATACATGGCATGAATACGCGTTTGTTTGGGAACTGGGTATCCCATTCCATCCCTTAGAAGAGCATTCTCCCATCAACTTTCCATCCCATGGGGTATGGTGCATAGTGAGTATGGTGCGGTCACGTATGGTCCACTTGCAAACCGGTCAGTACTCACCGTCTGAGAAGACCTGCTAGAGCAAACTAAAATAGGGAGAGACCAATCCTTATGTCTGGATCACCGTTGGCCAAGAAGCACAGCCTGTTGCTTGTCGTGTCATCATCATCATCATCATCATCACCACCATCACTCATCACTCATCACTCATCACTCATCACTCATCACTCATGACTCATGACTCATGACTCATGACTCATGACTCATGACTCATGACTCATGACTCATCATCACTCATGACTCATCATCACTCATGACTCATCATCACTCATGCCTCATGACTCATGACTCATCATCACTCATGTCCTGCTATTCATTTTCTTCTCCGTCACTTGCGCCATTTTTTTTAAAGTTTGTAACGGAAGTGCTTCAATAAACGCGACCGCCAGCCTGAAAAAGATACTTTTCCCCATGTACCCCGCCAGTGCAATTGATGTTTCAACGGCCCAACATCATGTATCAAAGAACCGCGGTTGGGGCTTCCAAAATTTCAGTTTAGCGAATTATGGCAATCGGATCCATAACTATAGGTGGTACTCTTACCCTTGGGATCCACGATTTGGTACTTGGCCCAACCAGTGTCCCACCAATCTCGTTGGTTATTGTTTCGTTACATACGGTTTTATGGGTGAAAAAGATGGTGTAAAAAAAGTTTGTTACTCCATGATTGGGATAGAAATAGATTATATATATATATATATATTACTATAAGTAAATCTATGGTACCTTCCTGTAAACTAACAAATGTGCCTTGACCATCCCAGGGTAGCCATTTTTCATACTCTTGGTGAATAGTAGGTTCTGAGATTTAGCGACTGTTTCCTGAACTTTAGCGGCCATTTCTGCAATTCTCAAGGTGATCATCGTGGATGCCCCTACCATTCTCCTCAATCAAAAAAATGTTCATGCTGACTAGTTTCATCCATGACCTATCTGTTACAATCCCACTCGACCAGTCATTCCATGCCATCATCCAAAGCCCCCTTTCTCTGTTTTCTCGCTGCTCGGTGGTTGTGATGTGAACCACATCAAGCTTTCGCCGCCTGGTGCGCTTGGCGTGTTTATTTGTCAGGACGGACACCAGGGGACCGTGGGTCACTGCATCAGGGTATGGCCATGACATGCAACATCATGCAATTACTTGCCACATATTTTGGCTTTAGCTGTGGTGTGACTTCATAGAAACAAAGTAGGAGTGAAACACCCAAAGTTCCAGCCAGCTTCGGCCATGCCCGCTGCTGGTGTGAAGAATGAAGGGGTGGTGAAAAAGGAAGGGGGTGGTAGTGACGCACCTAGCCTTTCAACCTGCAAGCCTTCCGCGCCCAAGCGGGCCAAGATTACTGATTTTGGTCTTGCCAACAAGTGGGAGGACAGCAGGTTGATCAGGGATGTTCTTCGGGAGAATGGGGCGCTGATCAAATGGCTCAGTGAGAAACAGGTCAATATCATCAATTTGGAGACTTTGGGGCTTAACTCCACTGTGATGTGTATGGTCGCGGATTACCATTGTTCTCGAACCACCACTGTCAGAGCTCCTGGCATTGACTTTCTGAAAGCTCAGGTCAGAGCAAAAAAAGGGGTTGACATATTTACCGGATATGTGTTTAATATGGTTAGTTTTGATTTGACTTTATATGCTACTGCATGGGTTGGATCCTGATCCCCTGCTAGGTGTGGAAGCTACAGGCCCTCTTGGAGCGACCGCTGGATGCGGTCGGCATCCATCATGATGCATGGGCGATCAAGAAACTCTTCACACATTCTTTGAAGCGATCGGGGTCGGACAGCCGTAACTCTTTGGAGAATCGCAGTCCTGTTCGACGAGTTTCTTCCATGCATGTTCGCTATGATATCTTAGGTTCTAATTGTTTGATATCAAGTTTTTGACTTTTGGTTTTTACCACCTCAAGACCTATTAAGTTCCCCAGCCTGCCTTTCCCTTACTCCTGCAACCCGCCGTGTAAGGCTGCAGGGGTTGGTGAATACTACGAGATCCTCTACAAGCACTGGGACGCTCCCTTGAAAGCTCTCGAGGCACAGCGGGCTGAGAGGGCCTCGAAGGGGCAGAGCAAGTCTGAAGTGATAGAGATTGAGGATGATGATGGTGCTGACCTAGTTGCCCTTGAAAACCAATCCCTGGAGCAAGCCCGGAATGGGATTGTTGTGCCTGGTGTGGTTGTCATCAATATTGATGCTCCCGAAGGAGGTCAGAAAAAGGGTGGGGAGTGCGAGAAGGGTGAAAAGGGTGAGAAGGGTGAGGGTGTGAATGAGGATGTGGCACTTTCCCTGCCAGAACCTTTTGCCAAAGGTGTCAAGTTTCGCATGACCATCGACGATGTGTTGAACCCGCCTAATTTGCCTCCCATGTTGCCTCGGGAAGTCGACAGAGAGCCTGCCCGACCCAAATCCATGGAGGAGTGTGAGGAAAGAATCAAATACATCCAGTAACTCACCTATAGTTTTGGCATGTTTTAAAGATGGTTTAGTGTGTGCGTGGGGATTCAACACACATTGCATTTTTGCCAAGCATTATTATGTTAGATAAAGTATGGTTCCAAGATCATCCATATCTGCAAGGGGTTTCCCGTCTGATACTTAAAATATATTGGGGTTGATGCGTAAATGTACTGTACTATTTTTTCCTGGGGCCGCCCAAGGCAGAAGCTTGCGGAGAAGATCGACCAGAAGGAAAGGAATGCAAACGAGGAGAAGGAAAAGAAGGCTGAGGATCTGGAGGTCCCTGTGGGGGTCGACCCGAGCTTGGTGCAGACCCTGCCCTACGATCCTGAAGTGGCAGCTGCTGAAATTGCCACAAGCCCTGTTGAGGTGATGGAGAGCCCCATGAAAAGTGTCCTTGATACGGAAAATTCCTGGTGGAAATGTGAGCAATACTTTCTGGAGATGAAAAAGTTCAAGGAGCAACAAGAAGCAGTGCCTGATTCCCAAACCCATGGCACTGATGATGCACATGAGAACTTGTCAACGAGCCTTCAAGAAGCAAGCCTCGAGCCAATCGCTGAACCTGAGATCAGCCCCCAGCCTCAGTTATCAGCTGCCTCGAAGTCGGATGAGCCCAAGGTGGATGAAATTTCCCAGCCTTCGGCCCCAGGAGCTCAATCCAAATTGGATGCTGGAGCTGAAGCTTTCGAGGGTGTCCCCAACACTGATGGCGAACAGAAGGTATCTGAGGGAGATGAGAAGGAAGGAGGTGAAGTGGAAAAGGTGAAGGAAAGCGGAGGTACCCAAGATCCTCCCAGTCCCGTTGAACAGCCTTTGGATTCCGTTCCCAAGCCTGAAGACGATGAGGTTGAGATCGTGGAGCCCCCGAACAAGAATGCCGAGTCCTACCCCTGAAAGTTCAAAGCCTGTGGATCACTCTATTGGGCTGCTAGAGGACATGCTCAAGCACGGTTTGGATCTGACCACAGCAATTGGCCATCTCAAAAGTGGCACGTGGCCATGTCCAAAGGCTGATGGTTCCAAGGCTGATGGTTCCAAGGGTCCTGATGGTTCCAAGGGTCCTGATGGTTCCAAGGCCCCTGTGGTTCGCCGCATCGCGCAGTTCAAGAACAAGACAGGTCAGCCCATGGATGTGCCCGACGATGATGATGATGATGAAGGAAGCAAGCCCCCTGCCCGCAGGAAAGCAGAGCCCAAGCCCAAGGGCAAAGGAAGGGGGAAAGGAAAGGGAAAGACGAAGGCGGCGCCAAAGGTAAAGGCAAAAGCAAAAGCAAAGTCTTTGCCTAAGGGCAAAGCAAAGGGAAAGGCAAAGCATGTGAAGGGCAAAGGCTCTGAAGACAAAGTTGAAGCAGAAGATTCTGATGAAAAGGAGGTGGAGGACACGGAGACCGAGGACGCTGACAAGGACTTGGACATCGAGGACGTGCAGAACAAGGACGTGGAGCCCAAGGACGTGGAGCCCAAGGACGTTGAGACCAAGGACGTGGAGCCTGAAGACAATGAGAAGCCTGTGGACAAGAAGAAGAAGCGCAAAGCTGAAAGTGAGAAGGAGGAAACTCCCGATCAAAAGCCAGCTTCGAAGAAGCCCAAAAAGGATGCTAAGAGTTTTGCCCGCCGCCCTTGCCCCAGTACCAGCCCGGCCAAAGACAAATGGATCGCCATCTCCCAGACCTTCAAGTCCCAGGTCCAGCAGCAGATCTTAGAAGCAGGTGAGAAAGTTTCCAAGTGGGAGGAGAGAGGGAAGGGGGTGTCAGGGAGATGCTGGCAAGGGGCTCTTTTATCATCTTATACAAGTTTATGTAAAATGTTTGATTGGGTGGATGGGGATGGATTCTTCATGATTGTTTTCCCTGTAAGGAGCCTTTCCTGAACATGGTGACAAAGGCCTTCAAGAAGGCAGAAGATGCGGGCCCCGTGGAAGTCTCTGAGTTCGAAAAGATCGCTGTCAATTGCATCCCTGCATTTCTGAACCTGGTAGCTTAGAGTGTTTCCGTACCTGTGAGGGTCATATTACTGTGATTTTGTGCGTCTTGACGTGGGGAGTCAACTTCTTAGTCAACACGCATGGGTCCACAATGCAACTCTTGCCAACCATTACCAACCTTGTTCAAAGTGAAAATATGTGAAAATGATATCCTTTGCTGCTGGTCTACCCAACTTTATTCCTGTGCCATACCTTTGTGGCCCTTGCCCGTTGTGAAGCTGACTGTGGTTTGGCTTGGCTCCAGTGCGAGAATTTGCGCATAGGAGCTTGGCATTTCAAATTTAAATCGGAGATGTGGGTATGACGAGTCACGAGTCCATTTCTCGTGCTGGCATGGGCCATATAGATCATGGATGTGGCCTATAGATCTTGCAAAGGTGTGTGAAAACTACGTACGCACCGAAGGCCGGCAGCCATCATATGATGTGTTTATGCAACAACGTATGGCTTGCAAATTCCTTATTGTTAACATCCCTTCAACGTTTTTCAGTATATATACTATGTGAATCTCAGTGATGTGTCTTGTCATTGTTGGTTTGGAATAACTCGATTTTTGTGTCATGTCTGAGATGTTGGTCTCATTCTACTGTGGAAGAATTCAACAGCATTCAACAGCATTCAACATAGTAGCTCTCCTGACTTTGATCCCAACCCTGCCTTCCATCTTGATGTGTAGCCATCGCAACTACTCCACGCATCCTGCCAGGTGGCTGCCATGGATGTATGGTCTGAAGAAGGGCCAGGTTGGTCTCGCGAAGCTTCGTTTGGGGGCTAATTCCCAAAAGCCAAGCCCTCCTGACTTGATTGGGGGCTTCCGGGGGGGTGCATTCAAACTTTTCCTGCAATGTACCGAAAAATATAAAGACAATTCTTGACAGTTACCATTCGTATAGAGCTGATATGACAAGACTTATTGAGCATGTTTGTCCCGCAGCCAACCGGTCGCAGAGCTCGATCCATATATGTTCATGAAGCCCCTGCTGGTTTGCGTTATTTAGCAATGGGGCCTGAAGAGATGGAAATCTTCTTCAAACGCATGTTTGCACTGCGTATTCCCAAAGACGCTTGGATTTATATTTCTGAGGGGTACCCTGTTTTAATTTATGATCCATCCCATGTTTCCCCAAACCAATGATGTAACCCATGCCAATCTCGCAGCCTCGTTGCCTTTCAGGTCATAATTTTGTTGGTGCTGCTCATCTCCTGGATGGAGGACGGTGATGGTGTGAAGGACAATATTGAAGTGATAGAGTACTTCTCGGGGGTTGGTCGTGTAGCAAAACTGGCTGACCATGTTGGATACAAAGCTGTAGCTTTCGATATGGATGATGGGGTTACAACAGCCAAAAGATCTGGGCGACGAAATCCATTGGATTTGAACTCAAATGGTGGCTTCGTGCTAGCCATCAAACTGATTCTTAGATCTCGGTTCAATGCATTAATAGGTTTGTTTGCGATACTCTGCAGCTCCTTTGTGCCTGTGAACCGGGGAACTGGATCTCGAGACCTACTAGTTCCTGAAGGAGATGAACAGGTGGTATCAGTAAGAAAATCCAATAAGCTTGTTTCTCGGAATCTTGAATGCAATGTTCGTATAAGGGAAATAATTTTATATTCCCTTGGTCATTCTTAAGGGGTTGGATGGACACTAGGAGATATCTATAGTATACCAGTTGTAAAAAACCTGGTGAATGGTAACTCTTTTCCCATTGGTATTTTGATTGGCTTTGGTTATCCCAAATTGCCGTACACGAACCCCAACGAAGAACATCACCCGTTGGGCTTCATGTGAAAAAAATGGTGGTGAATGAACCTTATTTTACCCATTTGTATTGATGTGTTCACTTCCAACTGCCACGCTAAGGACAATCATATTGATGATATGTGTGATCTGTGCTGGAGGAACCATTTTCGCTGAGAATCCCGCAAATTCCCTGGTGGCATTGCAACCACGATTTGTATGGTTGGTCAACCTCCTTCAAAGTCATTCAATCCCAGTTCCTTGTCTCAGTTCAATTTGATATGATATCCTATTTATGATAATTATATATGCTATCAACTGTAGCGTCTTGTGAAAAGAATTTGGCTTGCAACTAAGTTCTTCAAATGCGCATTCTGGATGCGCAAGCATCTGTCCTTGACGTGGAAGAGGACTTGGGTGTGGGCAACTTCAGAGCGCATCCGTGCGTTGGACCTTGGCTCACTTGAACCGTCAGAGAGGGCCACAACAGTCAAGACCACTATCCGTAAGAAAGATTCCAGTGGGCGTGTCAAGTGGCAAGGGTCAGAAAATTTGAAGGGTACACAGCACTTTGACAGCAATGTTCGGTATATTTTAGTTTACTGTAATGACCTATTTTTGGAGCCCTCAAAAGTTCAGTTCAACCAAGCCTTAATTCAATCAAATTGGTGGGTCTGCTGCAGGCAATACACCTTCCGTTTTGCCCGCCATATGGTGGAACTATTTCCTGGATTTGTTGCAGACCAACCTCACCGATTACTTCCTCCTGCACCTAGTGTGTGCATAATTTTTTGGATGATTTCAATAGGGTGCTTCAAGTAGTTCCCAACAAACCAACAATCCCCAAGGGTAAATCGTTTATACCTGATCATGGGCATTACTCATTGGGTTGCCACTGCATTGCACATTGTAGGTATCTGAGACGAAAACCCTTTTGGAACTGTTCAAAGAGGCAGAGTTCAATGAAAGTTGGGATGAGTGCAGTGATCTTCATAATGTCATTATCTATTGCAGGGGGAGCAAACGGCTTAAGATCCCTGATGGTTGGCGGGATTCATTGCCACAAGAGCTGTGACCCCGGCTGCTTGCTGCCAGCCAAAGGATGAGGTTGAAGCTCCTCACAAAACATTGGATCAAAGTTGCTTCTGGGGTGGCTTAGTGGGACGGGCAGTGTGGAACCAAGGTCTTTTTAAAACCACCCAAAGAATAGAAAAAGCTACTTCGATTCAATTTTACTTTATTGGGATTACTTCATTGGGGCTTTGTACAAGGGAAACCCTGGTTCTGATCAAGTGGTTGGAATGGGGGATATATTATATAATATTAATTGAAATACTATTACATGCCCAGGTTCTTGGCATGCCGTACGGATCCCTATGAAGAGCTTTATTGGTGGATTACATGCTTTTACTATAATCAAATCATGTGGTCCTATAGGCACAGTTCATGGATGTCGTGAACAATCCAAATGTCAACAATTCAGGAATGTAATGAACGATTACCATGGTTCAAAATTTGATTGTTCATTTATAATATGAATAATATGAGTTTCAACATTTCATGAAATCCATGAATTATCTACAGGTTGCCCTCAGAACAATTCATAAAATTCATGAATTATCTGGTCCTTAAAATAATTCATAAAATGCATGAATTATCTGGTCCTGACAACAATTCATAAAATTCATGAATTATCTGGTCCTTAAAATAATTCATAAAATGCATGAATTATCTGGTCCTGACAACAATTCATACAATTCATGAATACAGGTTGCCCTGAAAACAATTCATAAAATGCATGAATTATTTGGTCCTGACAACAATTCATACAATTCATGAATACAGGTTGCCCTGAAAACAATTCATACAATTCATGAATTATCTGAATAAAGGTTGCCTTATTAAAAAAAAAAAATCATAAAATTCATGAAAAATTAGCGGAGGAAATTCCTGGGTTAGCGGAGGAAATTCCCAGGTTAGCGGAGGAAATTCCTGGCAGCTATTTTTGGCCCTGGGTTTGTACTGTAGTGTTTATGTTTGGTGGTTTTTCATTGCCCTCTCGGGTCTTCAGTAGCCAAAGCCTCATGGATGGGGAATCATTGATTTCTGCCCAAAAGTTTGATGGCGACATGACCGAAGAGGCATTGCTTCTGGAACTCAAAATGTTGGAGGACAGGGGTATACCAACAATAAAATGCATTAAAATCCATTGCAAGACCTCTATACTATTTCATGATATATTAAAGTGTTGGTTTTGTTTTTGAGATGTGTCCTAATCAAAAATAATAAAGCTATATTGCCCTCAGGACTTTAAGCGTGGTGCAACGTCCAGACCAGTTGCAGCACCTCTTCGTGGTGGCAATGCCGTGCAGACCCAGGAGACCCAGGAGACTGTTCAAACCCTTGAGACTCTTGAACCTGATGATCAATGTGACAAAGTGGTAACTCCCCCCTGTTTGGAAATTGATTTCTGTTAGACATAGGGGCGCGCACAGACACACAAACATACCAACTATGAGATATATACATGACATCATGTGACCAAACTGTTTCAAACCAAGGTGACTGCTGATCCTTATGCAGTTCCTGATGGTGATTCCAGCAATAAATTCCAGACCCCACCACAGGTTGCTCGTCAGCTCTCCTTTGCGTCTGGTTCTCTGGAAGGGCCACCTGAACCGGAGACAAAGGACATGGACATCCCACCCGTTCGGGACTTGGTAGCTCAGGTGTCTGTGGCTGCAACCAAAAAACGGGTTGCAAGGTTGATGACACCTAAGCAGGATGGGACCTTCAAGGTACCGGAGGAACTAGTGAAAGCATGGAACTCTGGTGAACAAGACAGATTGATCCGAGAGTTTGTCGATTGCGGGATGGTCAAGGAAAGATTGGCCAAAACTCCCAACAAAAGTCAGGTGGTTTTAAAACTTCAGAAAATGATGGTTTAAAACCTCTTGACCTTTGTTGGTCCCTTTGTGTGGAATTCGATGTTTTGTGCATGATACAGTCTTTAAAGTTTAAAATATATCATATATAACATTGTATAATATATATCATTCATATATAATATATTACACGAGAAAGATGATTCACATACCACTCATGCAACCCATTTGTCCGCTGCCTCGGTGCTGGCCGATCTCATTCTTGCAGGAGACTTTCGTCAAACGAAGCCTCAAGCGCATCCGCGAGAAGACTGATGAGAAGGAGATGTGGGTCGGTGGATCCTTTGTGTCGGAGGATCACCTTCGTGATGAACTCAAGCTTAAGGAGCTTCTTGGTTCAATTGGTGATACTTGATATCAACATGGAAGATTTATATAAGAGATAGACACCAAACCACCAAGTGATGTGGAAAAGAAAGGGATTACAAATTATCACCTTTATTTATAGTATCATGATGGTGCCCAAACAATCGGCTTCCGTACTGCGCCATGCCCACCTGACCACCACCCCAACCATAAGTATCCCTGAGGTCCAGGATAAAGAGTATCAAAGCTCAGTGCGAGAGGAAGTCTGGGTGGATTCGGTGCCTTTAGCTGAAACATGGAACAGTTGTCACCCACCATGAAAGCTAGCAGCAAGAGGGTTTCGCGACCCCAATTTTTTTCCAGCATTCCTCATGAATAGACACCATTTTTAAGGACCATGATCGAAATGATATAATATAAAATGTATACAAGATGGGGCCCCCCAGTTATAAGTTGGTTTATAACCCCATCTAAATATAACCCCATATAAATATATATAAAAGTTAAAAGTATCATACACTATTGTTATCGTATAGTTATAAACCAACTTAGCTAACTATAGGGCCCATCCTGTATCATATTATATATTATATGTTCCCAACCAGGCGGGACACGTACGAGAAGAATGTCAAGCTCTACTGGTACGAGAGTGGCCCCAGTGGACGCAAGCTGAAACTTGGTGATTTATGGCTGCCCATTGCCCACTACCTGTTGCACTGTGCCTGTTGGAGTTCGAAAGGATTCTTCCAGGTCCTGCCACTGGTTGAGAACTAGGAAAATCCCATGTTCAAGTCAGCATGATACCCGTTTCCATTCCTGTGCACCCACCATGGTGAGATGATAGAGATTTGGCCATGCATGCTAACAGAATCATATCCCTACTCTGCATGCCATTCTGCGGGTCTGCGGCTTAGGAAACGAACACGGGAAACTGTGATCGGAGAGGATTCGTCTGACATCGACAGCGATGCTCTCAACAGTGATCTAGAGGTGGATGCCGAATGGGGTCACAAAGAGGTCAAAATGGATGCAGGCCCATTTTGGGGATCAACATGACCAACAATAACTAACATCAACAAAGTATTTGTTTGTTGGCACCCATGCGTTTGGGATACAAACTGGTTCAAACTTCAAACTCTGGTCACCTGGTCCAAGTTCAACTATCTTTTCCAGTCCTGGTTGGTGAGTCCATCCGTAGCCCTGCAAGATGAAGCTGCCCTGACGGAGAGGGCTGAAAGCAACATGACTGAAGCCCAAGCCTTGAAACAGATTACCTTCCCCGAAATGGATGATGATGCTTTGCCAAGCAATTTCATTCCAAAGGTCCTAGCATGTCTTGGCAAATGGCAATTGAAAATGCACGACTTGGAAAACAACTTTTCGCACTGCGGCAACAAATCTATGCAACCGTTACTGGGTACTGCCATGTGGTAAAAAAAATGTTTGCTAATATTTTTGGTGGCCTTTTAGAAATTTCAACCTTTGAGCTATCAACCGCCTTCTCAGCCTGATATAAGGTTGGGTGGCAAATGTCACGAGCGTTCTGACAACTTGGGAAAGATCGCGGATGAGATCTCTGATTTGAACACTGCTTGCATTGCGAATGGATTCACGGCCATGTACCTTTTCTTAAGTATGGTGCCCGGGGTGCTGGGCTCTCCCTCTAAGCATGCTGAATCTTATGGGGATGCCACTGCCAAGGCAGCAGAGGCAGCTGAAGATGATCTTTGAGAAGAGCAAGCGCGAGTCCCTTGGCTTTTTAATACTCCAAAAAGGCAGCACCAACTATATAGACGACTATATGATTATTTATGCAAGAATACAGGTTTCATCTTGAAACGTTGTTACAGGCATGTATTTACTCATAAGGTCCATGCAATGATCAGTCTTCATATCTCAAAGGAAGTAACCCATTTTGTTTGTCCCCCAATGAGCCCGACATGCTTCTTGGTGACTTCTGAATCTTACAATCTAATGAGTTCTATATGTCGAATGTTCTTGGGTTTGTTGCGGCCACACTTGCGCCAGCAGGTGTCGTGAAGCCCTGTGCCTTCAAAGTCGTGCTGTGTTGCTTGGAGATCTTGGTGTCCTGAAGAGGTTTGTGGCTACTGATGGGTCCCCCTTTATTGTGGATGGTTCACACCAATGTCCAATTATATTTTGAAACGATAGTATTCGGTGGTCATCCCAGCATCAAAGGGTTTTTTGGGTGTAAAGGAATTGAAATACCTAGGGAAATGCGATCATTCCCCCAAATGGTTCAAACAAATTAATACAGTAGGTTCCAAATCCTCAAACTTAAGGTTATAATGTTCCAGCCCATCATGTTGTGAAGGTTGATGGTATTTGGGCTGTCTTCTTGTTGACATTCAATGACCACTGTCAAGTAGTTGGAACTGGGTTAACATCTAACCAGAAGTTTCGGGACATCAATCTGCAATTTGAGGTTCGGGTATTTTTTCAAATTTGTTAGGTTTCCTAAAAACAATCATCCTGCTTTTGGGGGTTTGTGGTTTTATCCACACCATTGAAGGACAGCATGCTAAATCCCCCAGCCACCATGGCCAATCAATTGCTGTGGGCTGCCTAATTCAAGCTATTTGGGCTATTCCAATCAAACAAAGTACATGGACTACCTCAACCAAAAATAATCAAACCAACTGTCCCCCAAAAAATATTTGGGCTACCACAACAAATAAACCGTTTCAGCCCATTGAACCCCATTGATGTTTATGGAACAGGTCGTGAGGGTCGGCTGGCTGCCTAAGACTGTCACCTTATGCTTATATATATATAAATATATATTATATATCATCAATAATATATATATATATATATTTGAAAATATAATATCTCATTGTTATATATAAATAAATATATATATATAATGATGGGCATGGGGTTAATGGAGCTTATATTGTGTTCCTGGTATCATGCACTTAACATACACCCACTAAGAATGATTTGGATATCATTAAGCTGTTGGCTCTGACTAATGGGCTAGAAAATGCGATGAAACCCTTGACTGGCATTTTATCTCTGGTCCCACAAGGCCCCTGTTATGATAAACTTGGCATATTTAGGTTTAATCAGTTGATATTGATATGTCATATGATATGTTTGTAGTCAGTAGTGGGTACTAGCCCTGTGTATTTCACAAGCTGGTCAAGATAATTTATGGTATAAGTTTTTCGTTCTATAGTTGGTGATTTACATCCCTTTTTTGAAACACAGACCCCAATGCTGTTGCTGGGGCTCCAACTGCGCTGCCAAGGCCATACCTCAAGTACCTGAAGCAGCAGAACAAGATCAGAGTGAAAGCTGAGCAAAATGAATGCCCCGCCGCGAGAGCCAGAGCAGTTTGAATAGGATCCTGGCCAAAATACTCATGCTTGGAACTCTGGGAAATGTCTGTTAGCTCCCCGAAAATTAAATGGTTTTCATATATTTATAAATATACCAACTGGCCTGCAAAGCTTTTGGCCGCAAGCGTGTGCCTCGGGGTCGGTTCTGCACCAAGAACTTTGAAAGGAGGCAAAATCATGCTTCAATTTCATTTGGTTTAGAGACAGTGGTGCTTTCCTCAAAGCGCCCCCTTCAGCTGCTGGCATCAAGAGTTCGAAGAAAAATCATGTTGTTTCTGCTGTGTGGTTTTACTGGGCCAGGTGATGTCAAAGCACCATGACAACCACTATCCAAACCCTCAATTTGGAAAGAAACGGTCCACACTATACAGCCAGGTTCTTCAGAAGCAAGTCCACTCCTTCTACATGCTGTAAATGTGGTTGCTGATGGGGCCCCTTGGCTGGTACATATATGTGGTTTCTTTCTTAAAGGAAATTTGTTCCATCCCACCTGCCCTTGTTTTGCTCAACATGCAGCGATGAGGCTCCGGCCAAAACAGTTGCGGAGCAGACTGCTGCGCTGGCTTCCCAGCATGGCAAAGCCTTCGCTGAGAATGCAATGGGCTCTTTTGGTGTGAGCTCCAGCAATGTCGCTTGTTTTGGTTTGGGCAACAGAAGGTGCCAAGTGACCATTTTTTTGTGTCCATAAATGGGGCAAAACTTTGAACTTGCCATAATTTACCCAAACTTTATTGCATCTCTGAGGCAAAGCGTTTCCATGACCGATTGGTCAACAGGTTTGGCCTTTCACTGCGAATACCGATTTCTGAATACGTACATTCAGAAGGACCCCTGGTGGCTACATTTCCATACTTGGCTCCCAAGGAGGTTTTGAAACACCTCCTGTTAAATGGGTATTCTTGGCTGCTTCTGGGTGGGTGCCATGAATCCAACGATGACGTTGAAGCTTTACTTCGGTCATTCTGGCTTTGCTATCAAAAAGAACATCCAGAGCACAAAGTGTTTGAACATCCCGATCGTTTGGGGACAACGTTTCCAGTCACTGTTCATGGAGATGGTGGAAGAACACAGAAGAAGCAGCCCTTGGAAGTCTTTTCACTTCAACCTGTTCTTGGATTGAATACTGCGGCCTCCATGAAGTCCATGGCATGCTGCTGTGACACCTCGGTCATGTATGGTGGGATGATTTAGGGGCTCCAGAATCACAATGCCTAAACAGCAAGCATTCCACATACCTGACGCATTTCCTGCTTTTTGCGTACCCATCGAAAGCTTACAGCCAGTTTGACAATCTCCTAACAGGTTTTCTCACAGAGATTTTGGATGATTTGGCTCTATGTTGCCAAGAAGGGATTGTGGCAAAGTCTGGCAAAACATTTTACCCGGCTTGCATTGGGTTCAAATTGGACATGGAATGGATGTCGAAGGCTGGAACTTTAACACGTTCATACCAGAACGTTGGATACGTTCGTGAAATACCTTGTTGTCACGAGTGTGATGCTGGTTCACCTGGTGTGCCGTTTGAGGATACCAATGATGATGCGCTTTGGATTGCGACCAGGTTCAATACAGTACCGTGGCAGCGGGTGCCCCCTTGGAGGAACATCCCGTTTGATGATGGCAAACCTGCCAAGTTTCTGAGACGTGATGCATTTCATATTTTCCGAATGGGGATTGGAAGAAACTTCTTGGGCAGCTGCGTTTTCCTTCTGATCTACATGGGATGTTCCTAGGCAAAGAGTTCGAACCTTTCATTGATTTGGTGTTACTGTTCATCTGGGCTTGATTGTTTTGCTGTTTGTTGCCAGCCTGTTGCTGCCTTTGCCATCTAAGGTTTCCACATTGAGGGTGAGAGTAATGCAGTACCTGTTTGCTTGGCAAGGGCCTTTGCCACCCTCAAACTGTTTTGTTTGGCCAACAACTTGCGCGTGGACAGCATCAGAAATTTCACTGTTCTCAACATGCACGCCGCGCGCAATGCGCATCCGTGGCTGGGGTGCAAAGGTGCAGATACTATCACAATTCTGAAATGGTTGCGTTTCTACACTGGTTTGCAGCGTGAACAACCAGGGTGGTCTTTAGGTGACAGAGAAGTCTTATGGTGGATGCTATGTGGAGCTAAGAGTGGCCTAGCCTTCTCCCAGGGAATACATGGGCATGGGATTTGGTTGGCCCCATCCTGTGTTGCGCACTGCCGACGGTCTTTGCAAAAGTTTGCTGATTCCTATGCTTACCTGGCCCACCACTGTCTTCAAAAAAAATGGTCCCTGTTTGGCATGGTCCCCAAGATCCATGCTTGGGTTCACTTCCGCACTGACATGGATGACTGCACGAATGATTCAAGGGACCAAGCTTTGAATCCAGCAACCTTTGATTGTAGCATGGCTGAAGATTTTGTTGGAAAAATCAGTAGGCATAGTCGCCGCATCCCTTTCCGGCATATTGAGCGGCAACTGCTGCAATCTTACTTGGTGAAAACCAAAACTGCTATCAATAGGTTCTTGAAGAATCACCGTGTGAAATAGCAGTTTCAATCTTTCAGGATCTGAGGCATGGGCAGGAAAAAATGGTCCACCAGTGCACCGGGCAAGGCCAAACAGCTGCAGCTAAGAAACACACGGTGGTGCCAAAATCCCAGCGGATGATTTTGAAATTTAGCGGCTGTTTTTATCTTGCAGCGGCTGATTTACCTGGCCCCAAACTCAGCGGATGAAATAAGGAGAGGGAGGAAGATTCAGGTGTATACATATATATATATACGAACCCCCATGAAAACCCACCATTTGTAGATCATTTTCCAAATGGGTGAAACCCCATGGCTATTCCACATATATGTGTAGCCACCCCCAAGATGGAACAGTTGGAATCCTGGGAAAATCGATGAAACTTGAAAAGTAAATGTATGGTTCATCTCCACATCTATGTGATATTTATAGATAGATACAACATGATATAACTATAGTTATGGAATTAACAGATGTATATTATTATTTTACAGTACATACACCGTCATACACATATGATTGATGCTTTCCTTCCCACTAGAGATGTCCTCAGCATTGAGGACGG